CTGAGTTTATTGCTACAGGAGGCTCAGTCTGTCCCTCCACAATTTTCATAGAGCGGGAAAAATCAGTTTGCACACAAGCAGATTTGAAGCTACAGCAATGAGGAATCACAGTAATTGAACTACAGCTGAAACTTCAGCTTGTTTACTTAAGCATTGATTTTATTCACAATGCATAGAAATTCTTTTTGTTGCTTCTACTCTTATGTGTCTGTAGAAGCTCTGTAGCTGCAAGGTGGGCCCTTAGCAGCCTGTGAAGGTCATCAGGGTTAGTCTTAGTTTGAGCTGCCCTTGTAGCCTGAGAGGCTGCTGAAGGTTGGTGTCAGCTGGTTTACAGCACTGCTCCCACGGAGGAGTAGTCTCTCAGCAGATTACACACGAAGTGTCCATCCCCGAGTAGCTCAGGCCTAGCCTAAAACATGACTTTCTCTGAGAAATGAGTGAATGAAATACTTTTGAAGACGGTGATCCATTCTAGCAGCTCAGGATTGGGATTTTGGATTCCTCAGTTTGAGTTTAAATGAAGATTTACCTACGCCTACATAAAAAGCCTGCTACTCCCCATTCTGGTCTGGCCTCTGCGGGCGATGGGAGGAGATCTGTGGGATGGGAGGATCTCCTCTGTGGGAGGAGATGCCATGCAAGTGTTGTGGTAGTGTTGGCTGCCAAACAACTGTTCCCTGTCTCCCCAGGGGTAAAAAGCCCACAGTATATATATTGTATTTTTGGGGATTTGTGCTATCAAGTTCTTTTCCTGAAAGCATTTTAGCCGTGTGTTTGCTGTTCCACTGGTTGCTTTGTGGGAACAGCAACTCCATGAAGAAAAATGATTGCTCTGTGGAGTCCTGCGCCTATAGAGCCAGCTCTTCCATGTCAAAAGTGCTGCTTAGCAAAATATTTTTGGGTTCGCAGAACCAACTTAGTTTTCTTCACACATATGCTACACTCCCATTAATTAAGTATTATGCAAGGCAAATTGTCTTCAGGAACCTATACTTCATAGTCTTTATATTGTGCTCAACTGGCACATCTTCAATCGCATTACTTTCATCAGATTTGCACTTTCATTGAAACACGATAAACAATTGTGCCGTACTCAAAAGTAAAATTCAGCTTTTCCACAGCTGTATTCACTTCGCAGAGGAGGGGATATTGCTGAGTAAAGTGACAGCATATGGAGGTAGTCGGTTTTCAGAGGGAAGACTCACGCAACATAGCACTAAACCCAGATGAATTACTACTAGAAATGAGCTGGGAAGTAAGTATACACGTATTCATGAGATACGGTCATTTTTTTTCTCTGAGGATCAGGCAGGTGAATTTTTGGTTGAATTCTTCTAGTTTTAAATACATTCAATGATACCATCATTATCCTTAAGAAACCTATAGGTTTCTTAGGTGCTACCACATACAGTTAAGTACTAGAGCAAAGGATCGTTACACAAATGCTTGGACTTTTTTTTCAGAATCTGTTTATTTTGTTGTGCAGTTCTATCCATCAGGCTTTTCAGAGAGATTTATATTTCACAGATTCCTTTTTTAATTTCATTCACTCATTTAAAAGATTGTCTTTGGACTCTGAGAAACGAGCAATGCAAATGTTTGCTATTGACAATTGTGTTTTGATATTTAATGATTTCTTAAACAGTCCAGCTGTTTGAGGTATGGTTCCATGCCCATGTAGAAAATAAACCCTCAGCCCTCCTTGTCTCTCTCCAAGGCTGAATAAAGGCTGCTGAGATTGCTGTGCCAGCTCTGGGCGAAAGGCAAGGGTGGAGACTTGGAGGAGCTGATGTCATGTGCTGGGGTCTACAGCCGGGGGAAAAGCGCTCTCCCTGAATGTTAGTTATGTAAAAAGAGGGCAACGGAGCATGTGTTCTATAAGGAAGCTGAAACACTGAGACTGAAATATCTGTGAGCACAGTGCATCCACCTATCTTTGCTTTAAGTTAGGCAGCTTGGGTACCAGTAACAGTTTGGCTGTGGCAGAAGGGATCTCAGCACAGAGCAACTGCAGTGTACTTGGGTGCTCCGTCAAGCCTGTATTATTTTCTGTGAGCACAGGACAGTCACCAGGAACTGAGTCATCTAGCTTGAAGTTAGATTGGTAAGTCTATTCCATACTGAAGGCATAAATGAATAGTATAAAAATATGCTACCTCAAAATTTTTTCCTTGGTTGATTCCTAGGGTGTGCTAGGTTCTGCTTCTTACACAGGACAGATGCAATTATAAGCAAGCCAAAATATCTAAAGAATTCATGTGTAAAATATTTAAATGAGTAAAGGAAGGTTTTTATTCTTCTTTATCAAACGTAAAATAAAAGCAATGAAAATTTAAACATTTTAGGAGTACAAAACAATACTTTATATCCATTCATTTGGCAGCCCTATGAATCCAAATACAAACTGTTTACTATTTCAACAGCTTTTCCTTTTCCTAACTGGGATTTGCCAAACTTTAATTTGCAAAAGTTGTGGAGTTTTCTTAATAAATAATTTCTACTTATTAATCAGGCTGCCGAATGAGATTTCTCTAATTCCTGTAATTTCTGGAAATTTCATTCTGGTATCAATAGTAAGCGTCGTATTTGCCCTTCCTTGGGAGAAAAAAATATACATGCACTGAACTATAATCTGTTCTACAGCCTATTCGAGCTGTTACTTATATACTGTACTGCAAAGCATCTGAAAACAAAATTATGTATTTCAGCAAATCATCTATTTATCAGACATTTCTATTAACTGCACGTGTGTAGTGAGAAGGTACAGTAGTGGTTTAATATATCATCAAGATAGACAATGTTTGAATGTACATGTTAATCTACATTTTTAGGGATTACAAATAAGACAACTATGTGCACAGTACTTTAAAATGCAGTGAACTTCTCTTCTAGTTGCATTGACAGTACCAGTTCCTTACACAGTTGAATCTGGTTAAAAGCTCTATTCCCAGTGTAATAAATGTGACACTACAGGTACAACATTGACAGCAGAGATCATTAAGGCTCTGTTCTGATGATTGTTTATTTCTCTGTGCATACCTCCCCTCCACTCCTCTCTTCTCCCAGTCCCTCCCCCCCCCAACACACCCGATTTTTTTCATACAGAATGAAAAGCTCATTGGCTCCAGAGTATTCAGGAAGAAAAGTTTAAGATAAAAGATTTTAACCTGAAAGTAATGAAATGTGTAATGAAATGTAAATTCATAGCAATACCTGGTACTTACAAAGCTGTTTTATATTTTTAAATTTTTTTTTTGGTATGGCAGAAGAAACCAGTATCCACATCCCATGGTGCTAAACACTCTACAACAGGTAGCACACAGAGAAAAGAGTCCAGACTGAAGATCATACAGTCAGATGAGTCTCAGCAGTCTTTGTGAATTTGAGGAAGAACGATCATCTCTATTTTTGAGATACAGGTGAGGCACAGAAAACGTAAATGCCCTGCTCAGAAACACACAGTGAAACAGTGGTAGACTTTGGGTCTGTTTACTCCTCAGCCACCGATTTATTCGTTGGCCCATTCTGTCCTCTTAAACAACTAAGAGAAGATCTTCTGAGATACACAACATGGGCCTAATATCATAGGGGAATCAGTGTCAAATGCACACAGCCTGATTCTGCACTACCTTTTGGCATCTGTAGTCAGTTACGTTTACGTAAAGAGGGCCTAAAATGCCCTCAAATTAAAACTGATTTTGTGTAAACAACTAATATATGTAGTTTAATAGAGAATCAGGCTCACAGCAACTACTTTGTGGCATGCTGAGACTAGAATTAACTGTTTTAATTGCTAATGAATTAAGGCTGATTCCTGTTTATATTAAGGCCTCTGTATCCTTCTATGACAGTGTAACTGTGCCTCAGTGTAAGTGAGACTCAGGCTATTGAAAAAATTAACCTTTCAGTTCCCTTTGAAAGTGATGATTTTAGTGGCCATAAATGAACAAAATAACTGGAACCAAACAACCTGTCTCTACACTATGGAATTTTTACAAAAGGATTGTAAAAGGACCTAAAAGTAATCTGAGGGAAAACCAATCATATGCTTGTTGAAGAAAAAAGTTAGATTAGATAGACTTGTTGCCTGGTCTTCAAAATGGAGAATTGTAACACGATAACACAACTTGGTATGAAGATAACTGGCTTGATGTTCGGTGATTATGAGTATGTCCAGATAAACTGTAGATGCTTATCAGCTCTGGAGATCAAGTCATCTTGTTATACTACTACAATAAAATAGAAGTAGCCTTATTTGGTATTTAAGTGCTAGACATATAGGGCATAGTTTGCATAAAGCGAGTGTGTGTTATATTCAGAGGAGTAGGAAGATGACCTTAAGCTCAGTAAAATGCTACATGATCACAGAGTTCTCCTATTATTATTGTTGTTATTAAAAGCTACTACGTGTTGCTTTCTTAGAATAGGGGTTCTCCAACTTTGCTCTCTGTAGCCAAGCATTATTTTAGAAATTCTCTCCTCTCCAAACACTCTGTTCATAACAGGTTTGGTTTCAAAACCTTCATTTTTTAGACAACGGTTTATCATTTTCTGGCTGAGAATAAAACAATCCTTGCTCTATTCAAATTTAAGGCCTGGGTCCCTATGGGTTGCAGCACTTTTTAACTGATTTTTACTTCTAGTTAGAAGTAGATTTATTTTTTAAAGCTAATACAGAATTTGTTTGTGTAAATTAACATAATTCCCTAGGCATCAATGTGGCTATGATAATTACCCAGCTGAGGATCGGGCCTCCGAAATGTAACTCCAGCGGTTGGGAAATCTGTTTTGTATACAAGTCAAATAACAGCTGGATCATATGTGATGTTACATTTAGTTTCACTGGCAATTCAGAAAATATTTAATAATAAATTTCATTGCTTCTATTCCCCATTTTCATATACAAATAAATCATCTTTTCTAAAACATTCTTTTTCTTTAGTAAGGCTTGTATTCATAGTCATATCAAAAACGTTTGCTATTGGAGCAATCTTTCAGGCTTTCTTTAGAGTTATCTTTATTATGAAATTCTACAGCATTCTAAACTTTAATGGTCATTAGCAACCCTGCACTGGAGTAAAGAATCACATTAAAAAAGTATAAGGTATAATATTTTCTTGTCCAAAACTAAGGCAGGATGAACCAAGTAATGAGCTCATCTGATCCTCACCTAGCAAGCCTTGATTTTAAACAGTATTCAAAATACAAAGCCCAAGAGAGGATGTTGTCACGATGATTATTGCGCTTTCTCAGTGTCTTGCTATAGGATTAGTTTTTCCTTTAGCAATATATAATTTCTTTTCCTGAAGACCACACAAAGTTATTGTACTCTGAAAAGAAAAAAAGCACTTAAAGTTTTATGAAGTTATGACCTAGACAGAAGGATACAAAAACAAATTACCGTTCTATGATTCAGCTATGTCATGATCTAATATTGTTTCAAAATTATTATTCTGTTATTTAGGTTGGCATCATCTTCTGAACACCCGATGTGCTCTTTGGCACGCTACAAATTCAGCAGATGCACTGTCTCCTGGGCTTTACAGCTTCTTCTGATGAATGTACAACATTTGGAACAAAGCCGCTCTTGACACCTTCCCATCCATCTTGTATCGAGATTTCTCCTTTTTTTACAAGTTCATAGATGTCTCGTGTAAGAATTGTAAAGGACTCTTCAACATTCGTGGCATCTTTTGCTGAAGTTTCTATATATTTCATACCACAGTCAGATGACAGTTTTTCAGCTTCTTCTCTTGTAACCTCACGCTGTGACACTAAGTCACATTTATGTCCTACTAACAGGAACACAATCTGAAAGGGCTGCACGTGCATTTTTGCTTCTTCTAGCCAGTCTTTCACATGTTCAAAAGATCGTCGATTTGTGATGTCAAACACTAGTAAGCCACCCACAGAATTGCGATAATAAGAGCGTGTTATTGATCTGTGAAGGAAAAAAAAAAAAGGAAAATTAAAATACATTTTCAATTTATTCATAAATAGATTACTTTTCCATGTGGCAATGTGTTTTTATCTACTATGAGTTTTATGAAATATCTTTGCTTGTTTTAAAACTAATTGGAATTTATTAATTTACCTTCTACACACAAAATGTTCCTTTTTCATTTTTTTCTTACATTCAAAAGTCACTTCCTAAACATTCTTGAAGCCAACATCTCTAGTGTGAATTTTGAATGCTGAATTATTCTGCAAAGTAGACTTTATTATCAAACTGTGGCACATGTTCACAGAGTAAAATATATATATTTATTTGTCAAACACTTGCTGGTGTTAAAGTCCGAGTCCTTCAGTTTTATACAAACATGCGCTTCACTTTGTTCTAATCAATTATTTCAAATTGAAATACATAGGCAGATGTCGAGAAACCTGGAGCCTAAGCTTGCCAGTGTACAAGCGTATCCTTTTGTATTCCTTGCAGAAAAGTTCTTCGATAGAAGAGTTTGTACAGAAGATAATCATAATTCTTTGTGCTGACAGAAGTCAACAGGTAACAGGCTAAGAAAGGACGCTCACTAAACAAAACTGTCCAAAAGTAACTGAGCTGGGCAAACACACACTTGTTACAGCATTGGCAAGGAACACTTCTACCTCCAGCATCTCTCTCACACAGAGGTTCAAAAGCTCTTTATAATTGCATTTACTCTTTTTTGGCATGAGACTTCCAGGACTGGCAACAGATATTTTCTACTTTTGAGCCCTTTACGTTCCAGAGCATTCACTAGAAGGAATTTTGGAAGAAGGAAACTCTTCCTCTGGTTGAAAAATTTTTAATATGCTCTCAAAGAAGAAAAAATGTTTGTTAGAATGTAGAGAGAGAGAAAGATACAGGGACTACAAAATTATTGTAAGTCTCTAATCACGAGCAATAGGGGAGGACAGAGAAGGTGAGAAGAGACATTTTAAAGGAAGTGACAGCCTACCAAGGAGTGGACGCAAGCACTCATTACTGGTATAAATATATAGCTAGTGTGTATATAAGTATTCTCCAACTGAAATGAGATGCACAATCTCTATTAACAGTCATTATCTGAAATTATAATTTATCCAAGAATTAATTCCATTTTATCTTATGATTATGAAGAGGATGCAGCCTCAAAACTTTTGGAATCAGGATGAACTGTACGCAGTAACATATCTTTCCGTAACAGTAGCTCCCTCTGATTTTCAGTTCATTGCATTTCATATAGTGTTTTATAACAATTTGAACACAGAGGTATAATTAGCAGCAGTAGTCATATTACAGATAGGTAAGTGCACAGCTAGATAAGGCTCAGGTTTCTTGGCATATCTAAATTCATTTAGCCACAGCAAATGGCATTTGAAGTGGTTTTATTTAGATAACAGGGAGGCATTGTTTGTCCTAATGTTTAGAAAGATCTTTTCTACGTTCCCAGCAATAGAGTCCAGGAGTGTCTCTCTGAACAGTTCGAATGTGAAGACAATAGGATCTTACCCTCAGATTAATTAAAATAGCCTGGATATGAAAAATGACACATGGTTTCGCAAAATTATTTAAGACCGTAAATGAGGGGTGTCACATTTTGTGAAGTATTAAATAAAGATGCCATAAAGATCTGTTTCAGGTTTTCTTAAGCATTTTTTTGCTGTAGAGCAGTTGCAAACACAAATGAGTACATTAAAATAGTTCAAGTGTTTCTAGAAAGAGCGGAAGTGGGTGACAAAAATGGGATTCGATTTGGAGAAGTGGAAGCTAATACAACCTATTTTCAGTAAAAAAAAAAGTCTTGAAAACAGTTATGCCAAAGAAAAGCATTAGCCAGGGAAGAAAGCAGGTTACCATCACAAATGCAGTGCATCGTTTACCAAGCATTCCTATATAGAACAATGTTATATCATGTATCTATGAACTGGAGTACTGAAAAACAGCCCTCCATGTGTTACTGGGTGCTTATACACAGCAGTCAGTACCCTCACCTGTTGTAACTCCTGCAGAGATATGCTAATCTACACTAGCTGATGATCTAAGCCATTATATTTAATTATGTGTATGTATTGCCTGTAACGGAGATGATTAAAAAGCATCTGTAACTTTGGGCTGTACATCACAAAAACTGGGTGAATATATGGGAGAGACAGCAGTCGTTTTTTCTATATTTTTGGTATGTATAATTTGAAATTAGTTTTCTCATTACTAAAAAAAGGTTGATATACTAGAGAGGCTTTAGAAAACAGTAACAAAAGAAAAAAGTAACACAAAAAGTTTTAAAGATACATATGATACATATGATATCATGTTATGTGATTGTCTAACGTCTGAGAAAAGCATGGTGTCTGTTAAAATATGGTCTACAAATATTTGAACAGTTTTACTGTTAAGGTGAGTTATTATTTGCAGTTATATTTTAAAAGAAACTATTCCTGACAAGTAAGACAAAATTTTGAAGCAGAAAGTTTAGGCCATCAACTGGGAAAAACATCTGGGCACGTGAATGTGGTAGGTTGTATTGGGTTTGCGTGGCAAGGTTTTGGTAGCGGGGGGCTACAGGGGTGGCTTCTGTGAGAAGCTGATAGAGGCTTCCCCCATGTCCGATAGAGGCAATGCCAGCCGGCTCCAAGACGGACCTGCTGCTGGCCAAGGCCAAGCCCACCAGCGACGGTGGTAGTGCCTCTGGGATAATGTATTTAAGAAGGGGGAAAAACTGCTGTGCAACAGCAGCCGGAAGAGAGGAGTGAGAATATGTGAGAGAAACAACTCTGCAGACACCAAGGTCAGTGAAGAAGGAGGGGGAGGAGGTGCTCCAGGCGCCGGAGCAGAGATTCCCCTGCAGCCCCTGGTGAAGACCATGGTGAGGCAGGCTGTCCCCCTGCAGCCCATGGAGGTTAACGGTGGAGCAGATATCTACCTGCAGCCTGTGGAGGACCCCACGCCAGAGCAGGTGGATGTGCCCAAAGGATGCTGTGACCCCATGGGAAGCCCATGCTGGAGCAGGCGCTTCCTTCCTTCCCTTCCCTTCCTTCCCAGGAAGAAGGGAGGAGTAGGGGGAAGGTGTTTTTAAGATTTGGTTTTATTTCTCATTACCCTACTCTGATTTGATTGGTAATAAATTAAACTAATTTCCCCAAGTCAAGTCTGTTTTGCCCGTGATGGTAATTGCTGAGTGATCTCCCTGTCCTTATCTCGACCCATGAGCCTTTTGTTATATTTTCGCGCCCCTGTCCAGCTGAGGAGGGGAGTGACAGAGCAGCTTTGGTGGGCACCTGGTGTACAGCCAGGATCAACCCACCACACAGGTTGTTCAACAGTATCTGAAACATCTTACAGATGCAAAATATTTGACTTATATATGACAATCAGAGTAGATTAAGTATTAGACATATTTTTAGTAGACAGCTTAGAGTTATTTGGAAAATGAACTATGTGAAGTGGATGTACTTCTGCTCACTTATGCCCTGTATCACACCTAGAAAGAATGAAAGAGCATTGACTTAGATGGTCTGGTAGGTCTCTCTGCTTTTGTTTTGGGTTTTTTTTTCTCTATAAAACTAAGTGTAAGGGCAATTTTTGCCTCTTATTAATATTATTGCTAAAGATTATAGGACTTTTAAGTGCCTTCAACAAGGCTTAGGCAGAACTATAACACAGACATCTGAAGTTGTGCTCCACTCAGCTGCGTCCCTAACCATGGTGCCTGAATAAGTTCCCTGGGGATGTGAGTGCTTTGCCTCTGCACGGGCTGTGAGCCGCTCAGCGGGGACAGCCCTGCCTTCCCTCTTAGCTCAGATCCGAGCTGAAAACAAACCATTGCTCCAGGTGAGTGCCTAGAAGGGTTCTGCTTGGGAGGGCTTCGCAAAAGAGCATGTCAACCCTCAGATGGGTTTTCAAGCTCCTCACAAAATGCAGAGGAACTTTTTTTTAGCACGGTGGAGGTACCTATCTTTCACACAGATTCCTCGTGCACTACTTCACAAGGCACACGTCAGTGTACACAGAGCCCATGGTACGCAGGATGCTCGAGGGGTTTTGCTCAGAAGGCATATAGCTTTATAAAATTTACAGACCATGTCAATGTACTGCATACGTCTTCACTGAAAAGCTTGATGATGAGCGTGCATGGTAGCCAACAAAAGATAAGGAGGGCTGACAGTAAAAGGCTCTTCATATAATAGCTGGTAGACTTGTAGATCTCCTTGGGAAAGATCTTACGAATGCAAAGAGTTTATCTGTATTCCATGGAAGACTGAACAAGTACTGAACAACAGACTGAGGTTTAGTGAATAGACAACCTGCATCACTCTCCAGAAGTCCCTCAAGAGTACTCAGGAGAATTCAAAGACTCTATCGGAGACAAGATATCTGAGTATGGACCATAGACAAAACCAGACTGGCCTTTCTTGTGTTCTTTCACAAGCAAGGAATCCGCTTACATGATTATACACACTTTGGTAAGTGCTGCAGGATGATACTCTAAAAGCAAAATGAAGTTTTTAACTCCCTTATTGTTGTCACTTTTTGAACAGAAGGAAAAAAACATAGAGTCCTGCAAGTTTTTCAAGTCAGGATGAGGAACTGGTGACAGGTCAGGTTTGATGTAGTCCAACTTATTCATACAGGATGTTCAAATTTCCATTTCTCAAATTATCCACATGCAGATCCTAAATTCTTGTTGAAGTGATGGCTTCTCGTATAGAGTAAACTTTGGTTCAGCTAATTCATGTCATTAAACCAGCACTATGGAAGGGAATGTGTTACTTGCAGCACCATGATTAATTTTCTGTGGGGAAGAAGGGAGAGGGGAGTACTTCCTTTAAGTAGGGGGAAAGCCTTAAGTTAGGGACAGGGTGGGATTAGGGTGAAAAAGTAATGGCCAAAGAGCAGCCTTTCTTCTAAAACTGGGGAGACAGCAATGAAGCCTGCCATCTCCTTCCAGGAAACCGTTCAGAGGAGGTGCTGGTTGGAAATAGGAAGCAGAACTTCGTTCAGATTTAGAATCTGGCAAATCTGCCTGTGACTTTGAATGAAAGGGAGACCGAACTCTTAAATCCATCCCTGCATCTGTTTTTCTTCTGTCTTATCTCTCTGCCTAAAACACTTTGTTTTTCTTCTGTTCCTTTGTGCCCAGTACTTCCTTGCTGCTTCCTCTCTCAGCTTCTCTTTCACAGAAGACTCTGAACCCTTCTCAAAGTGACAGCTAATGGAAGTGCCCAAACCAATGTGTCTGCCTGGGCCTTTGTTCAAGGTGCAAGCTGATATTTCAGGAGGGAGTTTGCCTGCTTCCTATGGCTACACTAAATGAAAGGAAACAACCCTCCTACTTAATAGAGGTGACTGTAACCCCTTGGTGACCGGAGGCCTATGTGGGTGTGCAGCCCCTCCTCTTTCAGGCTGCAGTATGCATGTCACGCTAGCCACTGATGATGGGTGTGCTACAGCCTCCGGTCGGTCCACACTAAATATGTGAACTATTATACCATCTTTGCCTGAGAGTTACAAAAATTGACATAAGCATTACTGAAAAGGTAATTCTTATTTTCTCCCCCACTCCATATAAATAAAATAGATATTACAAAGATCGTTATCTGTGCTGTTGTTAAATATGGACCATCCTAGCATCCTCAAGACCATCCTAAGTTGTTATTTTCAGCAAGAATACTTGTATCAATAATATTTTGCTCATTTTGTATAATGCTTGGTATTTGTAATAAATGAAGGGTAAATACAGATAAAGGCTTGGAGAAAATAAGTTTTTCCCTATTAGAACATGCTAAAAAGGTAAGACTGCACTAAGTATTAAAAGGGAACCATGACACTTTGATATTGAATGCTGTAAGGTTCCTCCAGATGGTTCTGTATTTGAAATGCTGGAAGTTATACGTTGTGATGTACAATAATGATACATTAGAATGTTTTTCCAAAGGATAACTTTGAAGTCTTTAGTTTTAATTGGGAATATTTGTTAAATGCAGATCCTAAATTCTTTTTGAAATTATGACTTCCCATGTAGAATACGTGTTGGTTCTGCTAATTAATTCTGCCTAAACTAGCATTATGGAAGGGGAAAATACTGTCTAGAACAGAAGTCATCCTCTTAGCTTAATCTAAATATTAGGTTAAAGATGTAAGACCCTAATTAATACTCTCAAGAAAAGCCTTGATAAGATGATGGCCACTGAACAATTGTTTCTGAAAATGAATTAGAAGATGCTTTAATCACATCAGACTATGGCTTTAGGGTGACTTTAAATCAGTCACAGTGTTTCTTTCTCATTATGATCTTACTGATCTTTACCAGATGAACCAAACTTTCACTAAAAGCTTTATCTAATATTGAAGACTTATTTTTATACTATGACTAAAGACTACATTGTAATGGTATTAATTTTGAAAATACATATTGCTTACTTAAAAAGAAGAATAAGGATAGTCTTTTATTTTCAAGCCATGTGTTAGAAACAGAATGTATCTAATATCATAGGCTACTAAAAAGTGGGTTAATGTAACTGAGGCATCCCCACAACATTTCGCCCCTGCGTTCTTGAAATGAGCTCTCAGTCTTAGCACCACTACCAAGCACTTTATAGCCTTGGAAGTTTCATGATTTAAATATATTGTTGGATTTAAATACCGGAAAATTAAATAAACAAAAAAAGTCACAGCGAAGTAGATGATGCAAAACACAGCCAAAGCAGCACATTGCTCTAAATGACAACTAATCTCAAGATAGAAAGAAACCTAGGGTGTACCCCTCATTTACCTTAGTCTGTGTTACGGACCTGAGTCTATACTAAGCAAGTCTGTAGGTTCTTGTTCTACTAAAGTGTTGAAGGTATTGATTATGTTGTAGTTGTCCGTACGGCACCTAGCACAATGGGAGATTCTGCTTAGTGATGCCTTACTGATGTCAAAGTAAATACAGTCAGTAACTGCCCTGTCTGAGCTCAAAATAAGTAAACTGTCCGGCACCAGTGTTTGCAGCTTGCTCACCCTTCTTGTGGAAGTGGTAAGAATTACTTTATTTGAGAAGTAATACAAACGGTGTGTGTTAAAGGTGATCTCTAAGATCGTGCATGACATCCAGTTCAAATACAGCAGCATCAATGAACTAGACGCATGTAAGAATTTTTCCAAAACAATTTCTCCAAGAAAATATGTGCTCTCTTTCAAGAGAGTGTGATGGCAGATGTGTCACACCTAACTTTTCCCCTGGGAATGTCCCTAATGCCTGGGACCAAAAGAAGGGGGTTATTATGCAGCCAGTAGTTTGCCCTGCACACAGGGAACTCTCCAGGGAGCTTTAAAGCCAGGTTTTACCTCCTCTAAAGTACCAATGCAAGTGAACCAGAGCAGAATTGGGAATCAGAACTGCAAACTGCTTGGCGTTCCACAAAATTAGATTACTTCTTGGAATAATTAGTTCTTCCCCAAGACCATCTTTGCTCGTGATCTGTAGTCTTCTCCATTAGCAGAGAACAGAACATGCAAGATTTTAACCTGTGGTGTATAACTTAGTAAAATATTTATAATTTACTTGAGTAAGTGTAAAACAGGCTATACAATAAACGCTATGATATTTGGTACACCAACTGACAAGAAACTCTTAGCGGAAAAACAAACACAAATGTTTAAAACTACTTCCTTCAGTTTGTATCTTCTGGGTATTAGAAAAAACACAGATGTATACTAATGGTAAATTTAAAAGCAACTGAATGCATGACTCATCACTGTATATCCCCTGAGCATTCCCGGGTTAAAGGATGGCTATCATTTGATTTAAAATGTATGCAAAACTCTCTGCATTTGCATTCCTTTCAGTCAAGTGCCTTGTCATTGGCCATCCCGGCTATTTGTCAGCAAATTCAAAATAAAGAGATTATACATTGTTAGTCACTTGTTTACAAGTATTTTACATTCTTTGCTGGAAAGCACAAGGAGGATGAAAAATTCTAAGAGCTTGCCATTATCACTGTTAATTTCTTTGCTAACCCTTCAGAGGCCTGCCTGCAAAAATACATATAAAGTTGTAACTCATGCAAGCCCAGGAAATTTTTTGTGTTGTTTCAGTGTAATACTTGTTACTGAAAAAAAAGGGTTGGTGTCCCCTGGTAAGATAGTGAAATCCCACCTCTTCAGCTGAGTGCGAGAATCTGCACAACTGTTGCAGCAGAAGACAGGGAACATGAAAGAATCAATTCCGGCCAGTGAAGAGACCCATTTCAACCCTACTGCTAGCATCCCAGTAACAGCAAGTGCGTGGGTCAGGTACCGCGTACATGGGCTATGCACTAGCCTCCCACCTGAGTTCATACCTACTGAACCCCAAGCCCAAACTAAAATCCATACACAACTTGCCTGAAGTGGCAAGCACTACAGATACAACAGAGCCACAAGAGTGAGTGAATGATAGTACCGGTTTGTACGTTGGGGAATGACCGTGACCCTTTTGGGGCAGGAAAAGAGGGTAGCTTTGCCACCTGTTTGTGACAGGGAGGAGGAAGGAGAGGATTTAATAGTGCAGCATTTGAGCTGGTTTAGCTACACTCTAAATGACAGAGGTATTAGTGAAGGCTCCTGGCAACCATCAGTGCAGAGCAGGTGCAGAAGGCCGATAAAACACTAATAAGGGACTGTAGCTGGCTGCCCGGTGGCTTCCACGCTGCCAAGGCTGCACTGGTGCTCGCAGTGCTGCTGTGCTGGAAGGAGGAAGAGCAGGGAGGTGGCCTGGTCTCTCCAGATTGCATGGGAGGGAGAGTTATGGCAGAGGGAAATACTGCAGGGGAGGATGAGTTCTGAGGTGATGACAAAGTAAGAAATGCAGAGTGAAGCAGGGGCCTCCTTCTGCAAAGAAGGAAAAAAATGCGGAGAAGGGATTGCTACCCTAGGTCCAGGACTTCAGGGCAAGATGAGGGAGGGAAGGAGAAACTCGACAAGGCGACTTGTTACCCCCTAGTGTGAGCTGGGAGGGGAAGGGTAGCTGTTTCCTGGTGGGTGTGAAGGGAAAGGGTGGGGAAGGAGGAAGCTCCTGGAGGGGAACTGGTGGGCAGTGGAGCGAGAGGGATGGTGGGCCACAGGGCTGGGGGGCACGGGCAGGCAATGGGGTGGTGAGGCTGGATGGCAATGGGGTTGAGGGCTCTTTGGGGCACAGCAGCCAGGTGGGTGCAGAGTGAGATGTGCTGGGGGGCAAGGCAAAGTCCTTGGGGCGGGAGATGTGTCAGACGATGAGGGTACGGTGCTGGGAGGGTGGTGGGGGCCGGGACTGCGGGGCAGGGTGTGCCCGGCAGCCGGCAGGTTTGAGGGGGGGGACGGGAGGGGGAGAGATGCCGGGTCCTGTACCTGAACCGCTCCTGCCCCGCCGGGTCCCAGAGCGG